CAGGAGCCGTACGCACAGAGCTGTGCCGCAGGCCGCAGCACTGCTGAGCGGGCAAGGAGGGGAGCCACCTCCTCACCCCAACCTACACTAACTAAGCGCTCCCCCGTCCCCATGAGCAGGGAAGCATTGCGTGCCCTGGTGCGGTTTCATTAGGAGTCATTGGGGAGCCCGAAGAGCTTGACGGTGCCAGCCTCCCGGCTGCTGTCGTATTTGCCATCTTTGTCATCACAGGCGAAGGCCAGCAGCGGCCTCTTCGGGTGCCAGGCGACTGTGAAGGTGGGGGACTCGCACTGCACCTCCCAGAGCTTCTCTCCTGCATGGGAAAAGGGGCCAAGTCAGCCTGGAGACCCTCCAGCCCTCCGCTGCACGCTGCCCCATAGCGCACCTGAGACAAGCACCTGCTGCTTCTCTCCCGTGCAGGGCACAGGAGGAACAAACGCTGCTTCAGCACCTTCTAATCACCCGGTGACAAGGCACAGACACCACACGCACATCTACCGCAGACTAACGAGGCAGAGGCTCCCCCTCATGGTGCTCTGCTCTGCACAGCCAAGCTCTTCCTTAGCAGAGCCATTCTCCCGGTGCTCTCGAGCTCCACCAGCACTTCTCCCTCCAATTCCCTCCTCGCTGTTCCCCAAAAGGAAACCATTACCTGTTTCCACCTCTGCAATGTCAATGAAGTGATCTTCTGATGCCGAGGCCAGCATCTTCCCATCATGGCTGAAGCTCAGCGTTCGGACAGGCCAGTCAAGCCTGAAGCAACAGAGCGAAGCAGACAGTGAGCCACCTCCTGCACTGTCACTGGAGAGGGGAGGCAAACGACTTGGGGACAGCACCACCTACCTTGAGAAGCACCTCACACACACCAGCTCATCCACATCCCAGAGGCTGACTAACGCGTCAGCACTGCCCGTGGCAAAGTACTTCCCCATGGGATCGAACTTGATGCAGATGCAGTTTGAAGGATGAGCATTGATGGACTGAATGGGCTTCAGCTCCGGGTAGCTGCGGAGATGGAGGGAGAGGGCAGGAAGCAGTGAGAGGAGCATAGGGCTCCTCGACAGAAGCAGGGCAGGTGGGACTGGGAGCAAACCGAGCTGGTGCAGGACCATGCTCGCAGAAACCTGGAGTGCTGAGTGAATGAGGCAAAGCATCAAGGTCACTCTGTGCGAGCCCAGCCCAGAACTGGGGCAACCTGAGCTCCGGGCAAGTTCATTCCCAACAGAGGGCTGGGAATAGCTGGGGTGTGGGACTCAGGGTCCCCAAAAGCAGCCAAGGGGCTTGCAGACTGACATCTGCTGCAGCTAGCCCAGCTGCCCTGCCCACCCTCTGCCACAGGTGCCTACCTCAGGATGTTGATGCAACCGTTGCCGTTAGTGAGGAAGAACATGTTATTATCGTTGTTCCAGGAGATCTCGTTCACCTCAAACTTGAACTGTTCCTCAGCTTTGGAGCGATGCGTCTTGGCATCAATGAAAGTGACCACATCGTCCTTGTTCCCCACTGCAATGGTCTGTCCATCAGGGCTCCAACAGATGTTGATGTTCTCCCCTGGAGGGACAGAAAGGCAGCAGCTCCCATTTCCACCCAACAGTCATAGCAGCCACGAGTTAAGCAGACAGGCAGTTTTTATTCCTGATCCAAGGCCACAATCTGCTCCTCTAACTCCAAACCACTCCCAAATGGGAAAGGCTGCCAGGGCTGCGGTCTAACACACAAACCCTACACAGTAACTGTCCAGAAAATATGTACAGTTATTGAAAATCAGACGTAACAGAACTGCAGCTTTGAGCTAACATGTCTACATCACTGCCCTTCACATTGCAGCCAAGATGGGACCACACCAATCACCAAACAAGGTCAACTCAAAGATCCTGTGAATCCAGTGATTTTCAAGATCCAGAACAAGCAGAAGCCAATAAATACCTATGAATGAGGATAAGAACAAAGCAGGTTGCAGTTATGCCACCTTACAATGCCATTTCCAGCCCCAACAACTCAAAATTTGAGGTTTCCAAGGGCAGAGATAGTATCTGGGTTAACGAGCACATGAATTCAAATAATTGTTTTCTGAATCCACACAAACTTTTACTCTCACCATGGCTTTCTGCAAACATGCCTTTCCTCAGTGCCCAGCCCTGCAGCCCACAGACTCCAGAGACAAACACACAGGACATTTTAACAGCCAGCATCATAGTCCAGCGGCTTCCCCAGTCCTGACAGCAGAGTACATCAGCCCTTGTGTTCACTGCTGCTCCTCACAGATGAGCACAACACAAAGATAAATGCCCTCAGCAAAGGCGCCCTGATTGCCAGCACCGACCAAGAAGGGTCCAAAGCACCGTGCCACTGCAGAGAGGCCCCACACAGCAGAAGTTCTGCCCGCAGCCCTCCTGGGAAGGCAGTGACTCACCTTTGGTATTGACAGTGGCGATGCACTTGGTGGTGCGGACGTCCCAGATGCGGATGGTTTTGTCCCCAGACGCCGTGACAAAGAGGTCAGGGTTACTGGGGTGCCAGCAGAGCTGATCCACGCTGTCCCCATGGCCCCGGTAGTTGTTCTCCTTCACCTGAAGGGAGAGGACAGCCGTTGATGGGAGGGATGAGCTGGCTCTGC